CAGGTAAGGTGTGGGCCAGGCACCTGCACTGCTCAGCATGTAAGCTTTGTTCCTGTGGATTCACAGCTAGTCGTGCTCCTCTTGGTTTACCCCAAATCATCTCTTTTTAAAGAGAAATAAAACCCAGAAGGCACAAGGACTGGTATGGTGAGCACTGGGGAGGTTTCTGTATTCCCAACTTCTTACCCCAAACAAAGCAAGCCAACGTGTTACCACAGAAAAATAAAACCTGTAAGAATCTGAAGATGTTTGTAACAGTAAACTGCTCAAGTTCTTCCTAAATGAGTGATGCGAATTACTGGTCCTCAATCCATCACACGTAATCCTAATTTAAGTGTTAAGGATTCCAAAGGCAGGCAGTTCAAATCCACCAGTCACTCCTCAGGAGGATGGCCAATCTCCTCCTGTGTGGCTGAGCCTCTGAAATCCCAGCTATGGTACGGTCACACCACACCACCACCACCACCTCCACCGTACCTCAATCCCATGATGCATAACCTGAACGGAAGTGCTGGAGGTTCTGTGAAGTCTTACAGGAGTTACTGGGAGAAGACATTCTTTCTCTTTACTAGTTGAAGTAAATTAGCAAGTGTCTAAATGGCCCTTGTGACAGCACTGGGCCAACCCCCTGGGCTACCAGGAGCCTCAGAAGGGACAGATCCACACCCCTCAGCGTCCGTAACAAGGAGCTACATGCAGGTGTTTTAAAATCACCTGTGCCTGCTCTCTCATGAGCCTCAGTGCAAATCTTTACAGAAACATGTGTGGCCAGAACCCACTGAAAGCAGAGCTCATGTGAACGTCCAGTCCTGACCACCATGTGACTGTGCAGCAGGAGGTGCTGCTCAATTGTCCCCCCACTGGGACACCACAAATCCCAGAGGCCTTCACAAAGGAACTGACCTGCCAGCAAGTGGGGTGCCCCGATGACCTCAGGCACTTCCAAATGAGCAAAGGGACAGTTGCGAGCCCTCTGTCCCTCCGTCCTTCACTGCCACTAAGTGGGGATAAACTCATCAGTGACCGTCCAGTGGTTCTGGGAAGTTTAATTACATGGGAGCAGACTGTCCATCCTTCTTCCACGGAGCAGCTGGGAGATTTGAACCAACAGAGATCCAAACAGAGTAACTGTGGGTGCATGCTGGTGAGTAAGGACCACTCCTCAGCTGACCCTCCAGTAGGTTTTCAAAGGCTTTAAATAATATGGGAGGAGACTGCCCATCTTTTTCCTGTCAGGGAGGCTAGTGGATTCGAACCATGTACCCTTGGATCGGCAGTGCAACTCCTCATCCACCACACCAGTGCTGTCGTTGTGAGGGGTCATCGAGTGGAGTACCACCCAGAGCGATCCTGTGAACAAAGCACCCTGAGCCTTGCCCTCTCCTGTGCTGTCCCCCCATCTCTGCCACACTCAAGCCCACTGCTGAAGTCACCGTGCCGATCCATCTCACTGCGAGTCTCCCTCTCCTTTGCTGACCATCCCCATCTCTCCAAACATGATGGCCTTCTCCAGTGAGTAGCCTCGCCTGCTACATGTCCAAAGTATGAAAGCTGAAGCTTGGCCGTCTTTGCTCCAAGAAGCACTGTGGTCATGCCCTCTCCGAGACACATCTCACATCTTCTGAGACGAGGCATTGGCTCGTGTTGCCTTTGGGCCCATCGAGTCTCCCACACAAGGACTTCCTCTTCAAATACACTGCTTCTGTGCACGGCAAGGCCGGCTTCTGCACCGAGAGAAGAGCCTTGGTCTGGAGGGTAGGCCTGTGCCCTATGCCAATGAGGAGCCCTACCAACTGTGGCATAGTTCTCACCCCCCGAAGATGGATGAATTACCAATTCTTATTATAGTCACAGCTTGTAAATGATGTTCTTTTGTTGCTGTTATGTGCCACTGGGTCACCTGTGACTCACAGCAACCCTATTCACAACAGCTCTGAACCCTGCCCTGTCCTGAGCCAGTCGCACTGTCTCTGACACACCTGCGTCCATTACCCCAGTTACTGTATCAGTTCATCTCATCTGGCGTTTTCCTCTCCTGCAATGTACCTCCATCCTTCTGAGCACAGTGTCCCGGCCATGTGCCCAAAGTAATAAGTCCTATTATGATGGAAATTTGTTGGCTATAAACTAAAAGTTAGTTTCCTAAATCTTTCTTTTGAAGTGAATACACACTTTGTTTTAAATTTAAATCCTTAAAGACTAGGACTTTAAAGTTTTTAAGAATAATTCTATCACAGAATATCAAAATGAGAAATGTACCCTAACATGAATTATTATAAAGACAGGAACTATTACCCAGAAAATACAGCTGTGAAGGGAAAGAAAATAATGACAAAGATGGATATCAGAAAAGACTTTGATTACTATATGAGTGCTCCAGAAAGCCAAAGCAAAGGGAAGAAAGGGAAGGAACCAAGAAATTAAGGAGCTAACCAGAAGATTTCAAAGGGCATTGTGGAAGACAAAGTATTATAATGAAATGTGCAAAGAGCTAGAGTCAGGAAATTAAAATGGCCGAAATCATTCAGAATTTCTTAAGCTGAAACAACGGAAGATCAAACTCAAGTCTTGAGTTGCAATTCTTAAGGATGCTTTGGATAAAATACTAAACGATCCAGGAAGCATTAAAAGAAGATGGAAATAGTATACAGAGTCAGTGTATCAAAAGGAATTGGCTTAAACAGAAGAATTTCGTGAAACCACCATATAAGTAAGTCTGTGCTGATGAAGGAAGAAGTTCAAGCTCCTCTGAAAAAACTGGCAAAAAAAACCCCAAAAACACCAAGGCCCCAGGAACTGATAGTATACCAACTGATATTTCAACAAACAGATGCTGTCCGGGATTTGCTCACCAAGTTGTGCCAAGAAATCTAGAGGACCACCACCTGGCCAACTGATTGGAAAAGATCCGTATTTGCTCCCATTCCAAAGAAAAGTGACCTGACAGGGTGTGGAAATTACCTAACAATATCATTAATATCAAATGCAAGTAAGATTCTGCTGAAAACTATCCAAAAGCAACTGGAACAGCACATCAACAAAGAATTGCCTGAAGTGCAAGCTGGGTTTAGAACAGGCCATGGTACTAGGGATAGTACAGGTAATTTTAGAGGGATCTATGCTTTCACTGACTATGCTAAGGCGTTTGACTGTGTGGATCACAACAAACCGTGGCTGACTCTGAGAAGAATGGGAATCCCAGAAAATTTAATCGTGCTAATGCGAAACCTATACTTGGACCAGGAGGCTGTTGTCAGAACACTGCATAGTTCAAAACTGGGAAGGGTGTACGCCAGGGATTTGTCCTATCTCCATACCTTTTTAATCTATATGTAGAACAGATCACTCAGGAAACTGGGCTCTATCAGGAGGAATGTGGCATCAGGATTAGAGGAAGGCTCAACAACAACCTGCATTATGCAGATGACACAACCTTGCTTTCTGAAACTGAGAAGGATCTGAAGTGCTTGCTGAAGAAGGTCAAGGACTGCAGCTTTCAATATGGATTGAAGGTCAATATCAAGAAAACAAAAATTCTCACCACTGGGCTGAATGGCAGCATCATGACAGACGAAGAGATTGAGACTGCTGACAGCTTCAGTTTGCTTGGCTCTACAATCAACACTCTTGGTACTAGCAGCCAGGAAATCAAAAGATGAATAGCACTGAGAAAGTCTGCTGTCAGAGACCTCTTCAGAGATGTGAAGAGCAACGATGTCAGTCTGGTCAAGATGTTAGTCAAGGTGCACCTGATCCAGGCCATGGTCTTTACAATCAGTTGCTATGCATTAGAAAGCTGGACAATGACTAGGGATGATAGGAGAAGAGTTGATGCCTTTGAGCTGTGGTGTTGGAGTACTGAATATACCATGGACTGCTAGGAGAACAAATAGGTTTGTCATAGAGAGGTGAAACCAGGCGGCTCCTTGGAGGCAAGGATTCTGAAGCTTCATCCGACATACTTTGGACTTGGTGCAAGGAGGGACTAGACCTTGGAGAGAGATGTCATGCTTGGGAAGATGGAGGCACAGTGCAGGAGAGGAAGACCCTCGATGAGATGGGTTGAATCAATGACTGGGGTAATGGGGATAGGTGTGTCAATAAGATTGGCATGGGACAGAGCAGGGTATAGGGATATTGTATAGAGGGCTGCTATGAGTTGCAAGCAACTCGATGGCACATAACATTCAAGCTAATAATTTTCTCAAATTGGAGGATTTATGCGTTTTACAAAATAATTTTCAAGGAACAGCTGGGGAGACATTACTTCATAGCCCTCCTTGATAAACTCAAGTTTCATCTATAGGTATTTCCTATTATTTTTGTAATGAAATCTGGGTGCAAATAAGAACCAGACCCCAGTTATCTTCCGAAGAGCACGCGCCCTCATGAACACCACTCGAGCTGTAGAAAACATGGGGCTTTGGCCAACAGATGGCTCTGTGAGGTGACAGCGGCATTTGCCAGGCTACCTGTGTGACCATTCCAGGAAACAGCGATTTGTCACAAAGTAGGAGAGAGCATGCTGGCCTGGGACTCACTACTCGGGTGGCAATGTTCTGCCGTGGCGTGGTCTCCCCACCTCCCACAGCCTCCTGGCCCCTCAGCCCCCAGCGAGCATGCCTGCTCTGGTCACGCTCCCTGCTGGAGCCAGGACTGCTGCGGAGCCCCAGAGAGATGGCCCGTGAGCAGATGGGGCAGCAGATGGCTGCAGACCGGCTCCTGTCATCTGTGCACCTGCACCTCGTGTGAGGACTCTGCACGGTGCGTAGAGCCGTGAAGGCTGCCCAGCATCTAGTCCCTCGGCTCCGCTCCTCCCTCCAAGATAAGTGGGTAAAGTTCTAAACTGTGCATTTGAAGGTGAAGAGGCTGCGGCAGTCTTCGACTGGAAGGCCTTTTCTGACACACCTTTTCTTCGGGAGTAGATGGGGTTATAAAGCGATCGTCCACTGGTGGAAAACACGCCTGGACTACTTGCTGGGAAACTGTGAATTTCTTACCTCCCTTCATTGATGAGCTCGATGAAAGCGAGGCCAGCATTCTTCTGAATTGAGTTTTGCCATTCCTGAGGGGAAAACCAAACCGAGGTAAGAAAAATTAAAGATACAAATGAAAGGAACAATTGGCTCGAGGATCGCCTCGACGTTGTTAATAACTTCCGCAAGTTATTACCTCCCAAGCCCTTTATATGATTTTATAACCAGTGTTCTTTTGTTAGTGGTAAAATAGCCCTTTGACTTGGTTTAGAAGCCGCCGTTAGGTTCACGGGGCTCTTGGGTCTTGATGCAGAAAAAGATGGGCAGTGGGGTCCCGCAGAAGGGAAACCCTGGACCTGAGTCTCCTGCAAAGAGAAAGGTCTGTAGGCAAGAGAGCACTGCCACTCTACAAGGGAGCCATTCTGATGCCAGGCTCCCCGGAACCAGCAGGTCTGCCCCCAGGGTTTCAGGAGCAGGTGCTTCGGCTCACAGCCTCACCTTTCTCCCAAAAGCAGCTCAAACCTTTCAGTCAAAATCTCAATGCTTCATTCACGGTGGCACCAGGGCTCCCTGTGACTATCCAGGTGGAAAAGCTGAGCCAGAAATCCCTGAGACCCTAAAATGACGACTAGAAGTACAAAATCCCTCAGGGGGATTCGGAAATTACATGTTCGGAGGATTTCTAAACATTCCAGAGAATTAAAAGTCACACAGAAGTGATGGAATGCATAGGAACGGTTTTGAATTTTTTTGAAAGGAAACAACCAACGAAACTGATGTAAGCTCTTCTTAAGGATTTAGATTGGAATAATTTGTGAGCCCAGCGGCGTCCACAACCCAGCAACGGGGTGCTCCCCATCACAAAGGCACCCTGCTTGTGTTTGCTTGTGGCATGCTTCATTTCTGCACACAACACGTCCACATATACAATGTCCACGTGCTCACAATAAACTAACGTTTGAGGGTGTTCTATAGTTTGCAAAGACTGGACATTACACCCATTACCTGTATTAAAAATACAATATTTAGATGATGTGTAACTAACTTTCCCCTACTGCTGGCTTATTCTATCGTTTCAGACCCTTGGCTGTCTCTGTCTATGTGCTAAGTAGGGGTCTTGGACTGAGAATCCTACCCTTCTCAACAGTCAAATAAACACTGTGCTCATCTCTTTTCAGAAGCTGATGCTCACTCCCACACTTAGCTGGAACTCCTCCCCTGACCCTCCCAGGAGGGGGCCTAACGGGCGAGTTGCCTGGCAGTGCTGCGCGGTGCTGCTGAGTCCTTGGAAACAGAGGGTCTCAGCTGTCTTTTCACTCCACTCCTAACCTCATTGCCCTTGCTGTCAGTGCACACCTCCGCGGGACAAACACAGGCCCTAAAAGTATGTGCTCGAGTGTGCAAACACCCTCTGTTCAAAGTAAGAGTGAAGACTCACAGACGAACAGCTACAAATGTACACACGTTAACTCCAGAAGGCATGTAGGGGTGTGAGGTCCTGGAGCCAGTGACAAGAGGAGGACAGAGATATGACAGGAACTGTGGTGCAGTCATGATGTGACTGTGACGGGAACAGTGACAGTGATCGTGATGGGGCCTGATGGGATTGTGAAGGGGAAGGTGACAAGGATGGTGACAGAAACATGAAGGGACTGTAACGAGGAAGAGACATGGTAGTGATGGGACTGTGATGGGGGTGGTGAGGGGACAGGATGGACTGTGATGATGATAAAGACAGTGACAGGGACATACTGGAGTTGTGAAGAGAACAGTGAAACGGATGGTGTGGGAACACGATGGGACAATTCTAGGCATGGTGACAGAAGCAGAGACAGAACTGGTGATGGGACAGAGATGGGAGGGACATGACAGGACTGTGGTGGTGATGGCACTGGGATGGGGAGAAGACAAGGGTAAGGGCAGCGATAGGTATGAGGTCAGCGCTGGATCTGTGAAGCCTGAGGGGCGTCCCCGCTTCCCGATGGACATGCACAGTGACGGCTGCCGTAGACCGAGGGGTCCAGCCAGGACCGGGTTCAGGAGTGTCGTTCAGAGTTGTTCATACAGGTTGTACTCGACTTGAGAGGACCCAACAACAACAAACTGACTAACAACAAAGTCACTGATTTTTAACTATTAAAACTTCTGTGAAGAATCTCTCCAAAAGGTAAGCCTGCTATTCCATTATAAAATGTTTATTCAAACTTTGAAATCTAGTCTGTTTAAAACAATCCCAGAGAACTCCTTTGTCAACATGTTAACCACATTACTTCTTAGACCTTTTGTACCACGAGATAGTCCAAATTTATTAAAAACCAAGATCCCTTAATATGTCCCATTTCTCAATATTTTACCCTTTTTGTCACATTCGCTTAAAGAGAAAATGGATTGTCATGTAAAAAGAAGTCTACCGCTATGAAGAATAGATTCTTACAACTTCCTAAGCATGGACTGACACTGTTTCCATAGCAAGCATGAACTTGTACTATAAGGTTTTCAAACAATATATCTCATCATGTATTCAAATTCAGTCATCACACATTCATCCTACACTACACTGTGTACACAAGACCACAGGAAACATTCATAAAAATTTCTTCAGTTTGGTTCAACTCACAGTATCTGTGAGCTGGGTTCAGGCCATGGTCATTAATCCCTTGCACTGGACAAGGCAGCAGCAAAAACCAGGAGCTCTGAGAAGCAGAGGGTCAAGGTCAAGGATACCACAGCAGGGGTATGAGCGAAAGACTTCATTGAAGAATTGAATAGAATTGAATGGTGTCCTCCATGGTCACCCATGTTGTATAATGTTTTACCAGTTTCTTGTTTTTCAATGCTGTGTAGTATTCCATTGTGTGAATACTTTTCTATCCATTCATTTGTTGATGGGCACTTGGGTTGCTTTAATCTCTTTGCTATTGTGAATAACAGCAATAAACATGGGTGTGCATTTTTCTGCTTGGGTGGCAGCTCTGGTTTCTTTAGGGTACATTCCTAGCAGGGGAACTGCTGGGTCAAATGGTATTTCTATTACCACCTTTCTGAGAAAGTGTCAGACGGCATCCCACAGCAGTTGCTTCATTTTCTGCTCCCACCAGCAGTGAACACGGGCTCAAATCTCTCCGCCACCTTGCCAGCATTTGTTGTTTGTCTCCCTGTTGAACTTTGCTACTGTTACTGGGGTGAGATGTTGTCTCACAATTGTTTTGATTTGCATCTAATTGCTAGAGATTCTGACCATTTTTTGATGTGTCTGTTTGCCAAATGAACATCCTCTTTGGTGAAGTGCCTATTCATATCCTGTGCCCATTCTGTGATTGGGTTGTTTACATTCCAATGAAGCAAACTACTGTATCTTTCTCCCTCAGAACGCCTGGCCTGCAGCTTGAGGCCACGTGGTTATGCATTCACCTGACGCCAGTGTAAGCTGAGGTCAGGCATTCACACGGTGCACACCACGAGGTCAGGCATTCACACGGTGCACACCACGAGGTCAGGCATTCACACGGTGCACACCACCAGGTCAGCCATTCACATGGTGCACAGCATGAGGTCAGGCATTCATATGATGCATGGTACAAAGTCATGTTTCACATGTTGAATGCTATGAGGTCATACATTCCCACAATGCACACTATGAGGTCATGCATTCACACATGTTGTATGCTACGAGGTCATGCATTCACATGACGCATGGTACGAGGCCATGCATTCCCACTCAGAAGACAGCAGTCACTTGCTGGCTTTGACCTAAGTCACAGTCCATCTAATGTGGGCAGTTGTTGTTATTGATGCCTTTGAGTCAAGCACAACTCATAGAAACCCTAAGAATAAAAGGTCTGAAATCCCTCTACAACTGTCAACATTTATCAAAGTTCACAGAGTTTCTAGAGGCATGCATATTTCAAATGTGGGCAGTACATTTCAAATTTTTGAGCTTTCCAAAGTTCTTAAAAATATAATTTCTAATTTGCATAATTTCAAATGACCCAGAGTCTCTTGATTAAACAAAATGATCCAGTATTTTTAAAATTTTTGGTTTACATTGGTTTGCTTGCAAAGTTCATATACATTCACAATACTCTTCATTCCGATTGTGTTTCATACTATCATTCCATGCATTATGTTTTAAAAATTAACCCTCATTGGACTTTGCCCATCATTAGCCTGTCTTTTCAGGTCCCCACTGGGTTCTTCTCATTCCCTTCACACACAACCCCCACCTGTTAAGTCCAGTGATTCCCCCCACCCACCCTCACCCCTCTGTGCCTACCCCTTCCCTCCTCGAGTCCTCAGACCTGTTTTACTAGTTATGCTTCTACTTTAACAATAAATGATCCACTATTAATGATTTGTAATGTCGCAAAAGCACAACAGATGATCTCTTCTGAGCAAAGCAGGTGTAGGGGTTTTTGTTTGCACATGGGGTAAGAGGGACATGGGGCCCAAGTTGGGAAGTATATAACTGCCAGGCCTCATGTGCTTACCTCCCTGGATCTGGAGATAAACACCCTAAAAGGCAAATCATTTAATTCAAAGTTGGACTTCGAGAATCTCACTGTGTTTACGTACCACTTTGCATGTTCCAATTCTTAGCGGGCCTGTGGACACTAGAAGCCCAGGCCACCTGGTCCTGAGCCACCCTCACTTAGTGTGGCCATGCTTGCCAAGAGCTGCAGCCACTGTGTGGACTCTTTCTGTTCCAGGTCCTCTTTTTTCAGGTACCCTCTTTGTTACAAAGCATGATTTTCCTCCCAAGGGATTGGTCCTGTCTGAAAACATGCAGAACTTGTCAGAAGCTTCAGAAGCTGTGTTTCCAAGGAGCTTGCGGCCTGCACTGCTTCCAGGGTAAATTGACCTGGTATAAAAATATGTGGTCCATATTTTTAACGCACATCCTAAGATCAAAGTATCAGTTCTTTCTCAATCTTTCTTGTCTATTATTCAGCCTGCACAAGCCTATGTTGCTGTTATGTGCCACCAAGTCGACCACAACTCACAGAGACCCCACGCACAACAGCCCTAAACCCTGCTCTACCCTGAGCCAATCTCACTGTCTCTGACATACCTAGCCCCTTACCCCAATCCT